AGGCTGCGGCCCGCAGACACTGCTCACAACCGCCAATGCCGCCGGCCAGGGCTGCTGTGGTCCAGACACAGGAGGAGCCGCTGGTGCCAAGTCAGTTGGTAACTGGCCCTTTCCATGAGCCTCAGAGAAAAACGGGTTCCGTTTCCCTGTTTATCAGCCTTCCCAGAGGAAGGCGGGCAGGAACCCATGCAGTCCAGGCTGCAGGATTCAGAACCCCTCCCCCTTCTTTGGTGAATCCTGAAACTTAATCCCAGCCCCCCAGGGGGGTTCTGGAGGCACACACACTTGGGCCCTCCGACACTCCCAAGTTTCCAACCCTGGGGGCCTCCACCCAGGGACACTCCTTGTGTCCTGTGACTGTGAGAGTCCCCCCATTAGAGGAGAGAGCCCACAACTACCTCACCGTCGGGCTGTGTTTCTCCACCCGGACACCTGTGATGGGCTGAATCGTTGCCCCAAAATTTATATATCGACCTCCTCACTCCCAGCACCTCAAATGCCAACTGTGTCTGAAGACAGAGTCTTTAAAGAGGAAATTACCTGAAAATGAGATTATACGACAGCACCTAGTCCAATCCATAGGTGTCCTGATAAGAAAGGAGAAGTTAGCACGCAGACAACAAGCAGGGCCACAACCCCGTGGGGACCCAGGAAGACAGACTCGCTCTCTGAGCCCAGGAGAGAGGTCCCTGGAGAAACCACCCTGCGGACACCTTACCCTCGGGTAGCAGCTTCCAGAACCGTGAGAGAATAAAGGTCTTATTTAAGGCCCCATCAGTGGTGCTTTGTAATGGCAGCCAAGCATAGGAATGCAGCCACCAAATGTCCCCAAGCACACGTCTGTCTCTGGGGCCTGTGCGTTTGCAGCCCCTGAGGCAAAAGCGAGTGAGGACCAGGGTTACACAGTTTGGATCATGTTAGAGCATATGTCCATCAGTAACGTATCAGGGCATTATGTCAGTGGATGTTCAATTGCTCACAGTACTTGACTAACATGCACCATTTTCAAAGGAGCCGTGTGTTCAGCCTGGATCCAGGTGATCGGAAGCCCGGATCCAAGATGAAGCAGGAACAGAAGCTCTCGACTGTCACACAATGTCAAAGCGTGGGCAAGTCATGTGGACGCTTCCGGGGCCACAGGAAGGCGTGAGGAAAGACCTGGTTCCCCATCTCATTTCCATTCAGTAGGTGTGCATGTTAAAAACAAAGGGAATCTGTGCAGAATCAGAGTCGGAGGGAGTCAGCTGCACTTTACTCTTGTTCTTCCTAACGCAGCGTTGCACTGATGACCCAAACATAGCCTGAGGTGTGGGCCCCACGGCCGGCACCCCCTTTAAAGAGTCTGAGACCAGGTGGGGCCGGGCAACACAGCAAGTGTCCTGAGTGCTGGGGACTGACCTTTCCATCACTGCGCTTGCTGTACGACTCAGACCACAGGCACGGGGGCGGGGAGCCTTTCCACCGCATTTTTACAAAATGAGCCCCCTTCAAAGCGAAACAGCATTATTGATCAAAGCGTAGGTGACTCCATATGTAAAGAAGAAACAGCTGGTGTCACCCTGGGCCACTCACACATGCTGCACGGACGCCCCCTCTCATTAAAAACGGGTGGGATCGCATTCCAGGCCCAGCCTGCAAAGTTAATGACCAGCTGGCAACAAAGCAGCTTGTGAGCCTTGTACTACAACGTGGTTACCTACCGGCGTTCTTATGAGTGGGTCTGCGCAGCGGCCCGGCCGGCTGGTATTTGACACACAGACAGGGAAGTTCCCAGGCGCGCTGCGAGGCTGACTCACTTCAAAGTCCTCGCCCTGCTGGCTTGGTTTACACCTGAGCCAATTAGCTCCGGACATCAGAAGAGGCCTGAAAACGGAGCCAAGCCCTTATTCCCGGGCTGCAGAAAGTCACTTGATCCCAGGTAAATGATACAGGAAGAACAATGGAGGGGTGGGGGACCAGCAGGGCGCTGCGCCCCTCGGAGGAGCTGAGACGCAGAGACTGGGCGTTGGCGAGCACGGAGGGCCAGGCCCGCACTCCGGGTGTTTGTTGAGCTTTTGTTGATAACAAAGGAGCAAATTGAAATGAAGCTGTCTGCAGTCTGTTTGCCGCATATCAAATATGCTGTAAGATATGCTGATTTGCGCTTCTGCTGAATTATTGAACATTGAGCTTCCAGAAATCGGGCAGGTGGGGGGAGGCCCAGGAGGAGGGACCCAGCTGGAGCAGCACTGCCCTCTGAACGTTCCACTGTGTCTGCGGGGAAAATGGAGGCTTCCTGCAACCCCAGCACTTTGGGAGGCCGAGGCAGGCAGATCACCTGCAGTCAGGAGTTCGAGACCACCCTGACCAATATGGTGAAAACTCTTCTCTGCTAAAAATACAAAAATTAGCTGAGCATGGTGGTGGGCACCTGTAGTCCCAGCTACTCAGGAAGCTGAGACAGGAGAATGGCTTGAACCCAGGAGGCAGAGGTTGCCGTGAGCGAGCCGAGATTGTGCCACTGCACTCCAGCCTGGCGACAGAGTGACACTCCTTCTCAAAAAAAAAAAAAAAAGGAAAAATATAATGGAGAGTCCAGTGACCCCTGTGTCCTCTGCACCCTCCTCAACTCCCGGTCACTGTGAACTTGCTGAATGGGCCTAGGGCCTCACGGCAGATGAGGCTTGCCACCATTTTTTGGTTCACTTTGGTCAAGGCTGCAGCTGGACGAGCCTCCTACAAAGAGCGGCTATCTGCCTGTAAGACAGGTGCTATGCTTACACCTCCCACGTGTGGGGTAGGCCAAAGAATAGGACCTACTGGAGTCAGGTCAAAGTTCTGCGCATTAAACAACCGTGTTCCCAACACCTTTCAGGGATGAGGCGACACATTTTGGTGCTGGAGACACAGGATGAAGGAGGCACAGCAGCACCCCGTGGTGGTTGGCCTCTGTCTGGCAAGGAGTGAGTGACACACGCATCCCTGCTGCTGGCATCATGTAGGCGATGGCATCACACAGGTATTGCAGAAACCGGGTTCCCTTTAGAAAAAACAAAGAAGAAGCAGGATATGCACATTTTTGAGAGCCGGTGCATGTATGTGGGTGCGTCTTCCTGTGTGTGGACACATGTGTATTTCTGTACAGTGTGCTGAGTGGTGCAGAAGTGCGACCAGGGAGACATCAGGCAAACCCATGTCACAGGGTCCCAAACACAGTGGCCAGAATGATTCACTTACTGAAAGTCCAAGCTTATGTCTTGATTAAGCTCCTTCATAACTTAGGATACGTTTTATTTCCACTGTAAGTTGGAATTACACTCCTGAAATCCACAGTAAGTTGGAATTACACTCCTGAAGTTTTGCAATAAGACGAAATCTTAGGCATTTTTTTTTTCTGTGATGATTTAGATGACTGCATCTCAAGGAACGGAAAATCAGCTTTTCCTCCTGTGGGATAGAGATCATGCCAACTAGAAGGCCCTCTTCGGACAACTCGCTTGGAGTTTAGCCAAGACGTGCATAATTATTTTTCTAATAATGGGAGAGTGAAAGCCACAACCTGTGGGTATGTCTGGCTGTGTAGTGAAGTTGTGACCACAGCACACGGTGGGGCGGGATGGGGTGACATGAGGCTTATCCCCTAGACGAGAACCTGCCCACTGCACATGGAGGAAGAAGAGGTCAGGGCCCCCAGGGGACTCAAAGATGCTGGTGGCCAACTCGGGCCAACTTCCCAGGTTTTCCCTCCTTCCTCCTGCCACGTCCTCCTGGAGAAAGGGCCTTTCCGCCTTCACCAGGTCCTGGACACTGAGCCTGCTCTGCACTCACGGTGGACATTTGGACATTTGGTGGGGTCATTACAGGACAGAGGGGCAAACACAGAGTGCTCCAGATTTTGTTTCCAAAACAACATCCTATTCTAGGACCCATATGCTCAGTTCTAAGGAAAGTGACAGAAGGTGTGAGGCTTACTTTGAGGGTCCTGGAATCAATGTGACATGTGTCCTTCCTTCTCCCCTTACTGCTCCCACTCTGTCTCCTTCCAAGCCAAGCACCAGCACAGCCACACACATATGTGCACGCAGGTACACACATGTATCACTGGTGCATATATGCATGCACACAGCAAGGTACAGGCACATGCATGCATCACTGGTATATGCACACACACACACAGCACATACATGCATCACAAGTACACACACACATGAGCAGAGCAAGACACAGGCACACACATGCATCACAGACACGTGTGTACATGTAGGCATCATGGGTACATGCATGCACACACATGAACCATGAGTACATGCACACACACAGGTGTACACACATGTATGGGTGCATGCATGCACACATATGCATCACAGGTACCTGTGTGTATATACAGGCACACGCAGGCATTGTGGGTACATGCATGCACACACAGGCACATACATGCATCATGGGTACATGCATGCACACATGTGTATCATAGGTATGTGCACACAGCAAGACACAGGCACACACATGCATCACAGGTACATGCACACACATGCACATACATGCATCACAGGCACATGTGTGTACATGCAGGCATCACGGGTATGTGCATGCACACACAGGCACACAGGCATGAGTACATGCATGCATGCACATGAATCACAGGTATGTACACATGTGCACACAGTAAGACAGGCACACACAAGAATCACAGGTACATGTACACACACATTCACCACAGGCACATATGTGCACATGCAGGCATCACAGGTATGTGCATGCACACACAGGCACACAGGCATGAGTACATGCATGCATGCACATGAATCACAGGTATGTACACATGTGCACACAGTAAGACAGGCACACACAAGAATCACAGGTACATGTACACACACATTCACCACAGGCACATATGTGCACATGCAGGCATCACAGGTATGTGCATGCACACACATGCATCATGGATACATACATGCAGGCACACACATGTTGTTATGGTTTGGCTGAGTCCCCACCCAAATCTCATCTTGAATTTCCACATGTTGTGGGAGGAACCTGGTGGGAGGTAATTGAATAATGAGAGTGGGTCTTTCTTGTGCTTTTCTTGTGACAGTGAATAGGTCTCATGAGATCTGATGTTTTTAAAAATGGGAGTCTCCTGGCACAAGCTTTCTCTTTGCCTGCTGCCATCCATGTAAGACGTGACTTGCTCCTCCTTGCCTTCTGCCACTATTGTGTCACAGTTCCCTAGCCACATGGAACTGAGTTCAATTAAACCTCTTTCTTTTCTAAAAAAGAAAAAAAAAAAGCCCCCAGATCACGTCTCCCACCCACAGCTGGCTCTGGGGGCCCCCTTGGCTGCTGCAGAGGATGAGGTCAGGCAGGCATGCGCTCTTTTCATCATCAGTCTGTAGCTCTAAATGCTTCTGCAGGAGCCCAGCTCTGGGGAACTGGACAGACCACACAGGAGCCCAGAGCCCCCAGCCTGACGAGACCCAGCCTCCCTCCATGGCTGCCTCCCGGCGGACCCACCACCTGCTTGTCACGAAGGCAGGGAGCATCACTGGCCTGAGCCAGCTTGCAGTGGGGAGGGTCCCCAGGGCAGAGGCCAGTGCAGGCCCCCAACAGCAGCAGGGTGGGCAGCCGCAGGAAGCAAAGCCATCTACAGAAGGAAAGGGCCCCGAAAGGGAATCGCGTGGCTTGGACACGCAGCAGCACTCAGATCTCAAACTGGAGCCCACACTCCCTGGGCCCCACGTTCAGAATATCTGGTCTCCTGTCCATCTTTTGGGCTGGAAGTGGTGCCAATTACTATGATATTTACTCCAGCAAACAGCAGTTAATAAGCACTTCCGGTGACGTTTCAAGGGCCTCTGTATTTAGAGAGCAGCAGGCGTATTTCCCACTCTGCCACCTGCCGTGGACTGAAGGAGTCCCCCACGCATTCTGTGTGGAGCTTGTCACCCCCAGAGTGATGGTGTTAGCAGCTGGAGCCTCTGGGGATGATGAGGTCGGCAGGGTCCCTCACACACGGGATCAGTGCCCTCACCAGCGAGGCCCCAGGAGCTCTCCTGCTTCCTCTGCTGTGGGAAAACACAGTGAGAAGTCAGCAGCTGCAGGAGGCCCCCATCGAAGCCCAGCCCTGCTCGTGCCCTGATCTCCGACTTCCAGCCTCCAGAACTGAGAAATACGTGTCTGTTTAAAAGTCACCTGCTCCATGGTATTTTGTTACAGATTCCAAACTAAGACACCACCCATGAAATTCACATACCCCTTGTTCATGGACACCCGGAATTAAATAAATGTCATTGAATATCTTGGGCCAGCCAGAAAATGTCTCTGGGAATGCAGACACGAATTCACCGCAGCAACATATTCGCATGTCAAAGTCTCAGGCATGCATTGTTTATTTGTATCTACTTATGGCAGGTGCAAGAGACGCGCACAGGTACACACACCCTGTGATCCACATAAGAGATGGCTGGTATCACGTACCCAGGGCTGATGCATGTGTGTGTGTGTGTCTGTGTGTGTAAGTCCGCTCCCACGTGCCGAGTTGGAGGTGCACAGACTCACAACACGCATGATCTCCTCAGATGGCCAGGCTCACACTCCCTCCAGACAGGAGGAATTGGAAAAAGGAAAACATCCGAAGAGGCGCGCTGGAGGCTGGAGGACTGCAATCAGATAAATTAATGATTCTTCATCATGGTACATTTTTAAATTAGGCGAACAGACCACCGATCCCTTTCCACAGAGCCCTAGACCTCCCCAGAAGCACAGAAGGAGACCTCAGTAACAGAGAGCCGCCCCACGAGGGGGCCAGCGCTGGGGGCAGTGGACATCCCCACCCACCGGGTGTTCTCCCAGGCCGTGAGACATTAATTATATGAACTATGAGGAAATCACTTTTTGGTGCTCCAGATAAAAACAGTTCTTTGGCAGACACCCTCTTCTCTTCATTAAATATTTAATATTTTATATCCAGCATTGTATTAGAAATTTGATCTCAAATGCCAAAAATTTAGGTGTGGTGCTAAGACTCAGGTTGTCAGCATGGAAATAAATTATCCCTGATTTTCTGAGAACTGAAATCTCCACTGGGGGCCCGCCCTCAGTTCCCTGATTCTAAGTGGGCGGGAGTGGGCGAGGTGGGGTCTGTAAACATTGGCCCATTTGTGGCACAGCATCTGTGGCTACTTTCACACCACAGTGGCAGGGCTGAGTAGCTGCCCAAGAGGCCACATGACCTGCGACACCCAGCTGGTTGTGGGACAAATCTGCCACCTCTGTTCTAAAGGAACTGAGGTGTGCAGGCACTGGCAGACGCACAAACCCACACTCACCTTGGTAAGGCTTGGACTGAACTTGGGAACAGGAGCAGACCAGGGCATGGGGCCCACTGCTGGGCCAGAGACACCAGCCTGATTAGAAGGGGCCGTCTGGAAGAAGTGCCTCCCAGTGCTGGAGATGGGAAAGCCCCGGATGGAGATGGTTCCCTTTGGACACCATCAGAGGAGAAAGGCTAGACATTCTCCTACTCCACAGAGGTGTCCCCAGATGCGGAAGTGGAGGCAGGGGTCAGGTCCTGTGTCTCTGAGCAGGACAGGGCCAGGATTCCAGGGACAGCAAATGTGCCTCTAAGGGGCTGGTGATGCAGAAGCCACAGCAGCCCCTCCCTCGGAGATCTGAGCTCTCCCTGGCTGCAGACTCCCCACGGGCTGCCCATGGCCTGGGACCTGTGCACCTCAGAGAGGGGCAAGCCCTGGCGAGCCTTATTCTCATGCAGAGGAAGGAGCCCTGGGACAGAGGGACGGGCTATTAGCCAGTCAGAGCCCACTCGGGGAAGCACAGCCACCAAGACCTAGGGGAAGGTGGATGGGGAAGGAATTAGCCCCCACCTGCCTGAGAAAGCCGGAGAACTTCAGGTCCAGGAGGCCCGGAGGGGCCACCAGCCAGCCAGTGGGCCGGGTTTCCCAGGATGGCCCCTGACTCTGATGCCAGCGACAATGGCTCCTTCCTTTGTGTTTCCAGGCTGGTGGGTAATGGCCTTGCTGTTGCTTAGAGCTCTGGGCTGCTTCTCCTTGCCCCGTTTGACCTCTCAGCCATCCCAGCTCTGGTTTAACCACATTCTGGTGTTAAGTCTCATGTTTGCCTCGCTGGACTCCTAACGCGGGGGACAGGTGTTCAGAATGCTCGTCCCTGTGGACCACACGAGGATGTAGGCTTGGGCCCAATTGTGCATTTCCATTCATCAAAGTCTTGGCAGAGATCTGGGAAGCGGAGTGGTTGGGGAGTGTCCGAGTGTGAATGGCACATTTTAAAGAACCAGGGGTGACGTCAACTCAGCATGAAGCCACAGCAACCAGGGAGCCATAGGTTACTTGTGCACAGGGGCAGAGCAATGACGATGACAGCTATCTGGGTCCAGGTACTGCAAAATACAACGCTCTGGCGTGATTTCCTGCCTCACTGTGGCTGACCCGGCCCCATCCCCGAGGTGGCTGAGCACCGTGGTCGGCAATGCCCTGCCTGCCCAGCTGGACCTGGGCTTCGGTCCTGGCTCTCAGCCGTTCTGTAAAGTAGAAATAGTGAAAGTCCCTTCCTCCCCCAGCCTTCATGGGAACCAAATGTATCATTCAATACAAAATTTCTGAAACACTGTTCCACATTTTCTGCCTCCATTGTCTCATTGTTCAGTCCTTTTGCAACTATTTGCAAAAAAAAAAAAAAGAACTGCAGCTGATTAGAAGTAACTTTGATTAACTTGGGTTAAGTTATCAAAAGCTCAACGGCCTTCACGTTAACCCCGTTAGAGTGCAGCTTCGCACCGCTGGTCATCAAGTCCTTTCTATTCTCACTCTGCGTTCACCCCAAGCAGCACCTCCGGAAAACACCGCTTAGTGACGGAGGCTATTTCTGTAGGAAGACAGACGTTCTGGGTTGGACTTCATTTTTTACCCCTATTTCTCCCACTGGGGAGAAGACCCTCGACATTTTACCTCAGAAACATTGTTCTTCACCAAATAAAAGGATTACTTTTTGGGGGGAAGAGACTTTGTGAAAACGAATATTTCATCAAAGAACAAGGATAGCTTGGACCAGCTGATCCCTCCACTTCTCTCCTGAAGGGCCTCTCTCCTGAGCCGCACCCTCCATCTGCCCGCTGAGCGCTGGCCGCCTGTTGGCCTGGGTGATCACGCTCACTGGGGCCGTGGTCTGCCTGGGAGCCCCCACCCACGGCTACCAAAGCACCTGCTCGCGTCATCCGTCCGGGAGACCAACCCTCACATTCACTTTCAGCCTCCTGTTTTGCTACAAAAGGGACCAACGCCTTCTGAAAACAACTCATCCTTACTAATCAAATGGAATTTAGGTTTTGTAGAAGCAACTCATTGTTTATTCAAATTCATGTTTTATCCTTTAAATAGCCTGGGATAATGTGCAAAGTAGAAAAGTTCCTTTTAAAAGTTGTCTTTCTTGTTAAAGAATAAGTGTGCTGAGGGTTACAGCTCTTTTAGAATTTGTCTAGCAGGCTTTCTGGTTTTTGCCAGAAAACCCCTAAAAAAAAAGAAAAGAAAAAGATAAGTGTCCTAGTAACTCTGTCAAGCCCTAACCTACATAGCCGTTAGGCAGACTGTACTTACAGGCACAGAGTACATTCTATATCCTTGTACGTTAACCAAGATATCTGTGCTGGACGTGCTCACAGGCATGTCCCATCTCTCCAATGTTTTCACCGGTTTAGAAAAGTTTTAAGTTGTTAGCCAATCGTGTTTTAGTTTAGATGGTGAGGTCTGGCTCCAGCCAATGGAGATCAGACACAGCAGTGAGGACAACCCTAAAAGTGTTAGGAACAAATTTGTGTGTTTTCCTTTGCTCATTGCACTCTCGTGGCAAGATGGCTAGTGAGAGTACCATTTCTGCAGTCCACGGAGTAAACATTGCATGGCTAAAAGATCCTTTGTCTCCACGCTAATTTTTCTTTGCGACACTGCGCATCTATTTCCAACAGATAAGTTACATTGCTGCTATAGTATTGTCAATGATCATAAACATGACTCCAGGTGAACAGGCACCACGGCATAGACACAGTGGTGGTGGCAAGAGCAGCACAGCATCCATGGCCCCGTGCCCTCCCCTAGGCTCCAGCGGCTCCATCTCTGGAGGGCATGGAGAGCCCTGGGCAAGCTGGCAGGTCAGCGATGCGAAGGTGATTCCAGGAGGACCTCTGAGGTTTCCCTGTTTTCCAAGGTGCTCCTTCGTTCTTCAAAACGAACACCGGGCTCAGTGGCTCACGTCTGTATTCCTAGTACTTTGGGAGGCCAAGGCAGGTGGATTAGGAGGTCAGGAGTTCAAGACCAGCCTGACCAATACGGTGAAACCCTGTCTCTACTAAAAATACAAAAATTAGCAGGGTGTGGTGGTGTGTGCCTATAGTCCCAGCTACTTGGGAGGTGGCGGCAGAAGAATCACCATAAACTGGAAACCACTCACGCCACCCAAGTTCTTTCCCTTCTCTCTGATCTTAGTGGCAACAAATTTAATTCACTGCCCTGCTACGTCTTGCTGAGAAAGCACATGTGGAGCACCGGGTAGATGACAGAGAATGCTTCTCATCTGTGCTAGTCTGCTCTCACGCTGCTATGGAGGAATGCCTAAGCCCGGGGAATTGACAGAGGAAAGAGGCTTAATTGACTCACAGTTCCACATGGCTGGGGAGGCCTCGGGAAACTTGCCATCATGGGAGAAAGTACCTCTTCACAGGGCAGCAGGAGAGAGGGTGAGTGCCAGCAGGGGGAACGCCAGGTTGTTGTAAAGCCATCAGATCTCATGAGATTCACTGACTAGCATAAGAACAGCATGGGAGAAACTGTCCCCATGATTCAGTGACCTCCACCTGGTCCTACCCTGGACACATGAGGATTATTACAATTCATGGTGAGATTTGGGTGGGGACACAGAGCCAAACCATATCACCATCACCCCAGGAGTCTCAGCAGTTTGAAGACATCAACCGATAATTCCTCATGGTAGCTGTTAGGGCAATGCAACTAGAAAGGACATCCCAGGGCTCCCTGCCATGCCCTGGACTATGGCTGCTGCTTGGAGTTTGTGGGTGAAGATGGAACCAGGAGGGGTAGCACCCACCATCAGTTGCCTGACCCGTGCCCTTCTGCTGCTGACTCAAAACAGATCAGTGCAAGGCTACAGTCTCAGATGTCAGCTCACACTCCAAAGAGAACCTTACAAAAACATCTCTTGCCCACTCCACCTCCACCCCAGCCCCAGCTCCTGATGCAAAGGGGAAAATAACCAACTGTTGGGCTGAGCATGGCTGGTGGCTCATGCCTGTAATCCAAGCACTTTGGAAGGCTGAGAGGTGGAAGGACAGTTTGAACCCAGGAGTTCCAGACCAATCTGGGCAACACAGGGAGACTCTGTCTCTACAAATAAAAAAATAAAAAGAAATTAGCTGGGCATGATGGTGTACCTTTGTGGGCCCAGCTACTCTGGGCTCAGGCTACACGATGGCTTGAGCCCAGGAGGTAGAGGCTACAGTGAGCCATGATTGTGCCTCTGCGCTCCAGCCTGAGTGATAGAGTGGGATCATCTTTTAAAAAGTCATATTAACTGTTGACTGTTTTAGATGTCTCTCCTACCATTCCATTTTGTATTTTAAGTAACATTTATACTACTACTTATTGATTATTTAGGATGGGAAGCTGGGTACCAACGGTCTCCTGTGGAAGGTGAAAATTCAGTGGATGTATTCCTGAAATTCCACTACACACACACACACACACACACACACACACACACACACGTTCACAACCACTGTCCAAAGTAGACTACAATTTTCTTTCTTTTTTTTTCAAGTTCACTTATCCTTTCTTTTTTTATTTTTATTTTTATTTTTTATTGCATTTTAGGTTTTGGGGTACACATGAAGAACATGCAAGATTGTTGCATAGGTACACACATGGCAGTGTGATTTGCTGCCTTCCTCCCCTTCACCTATATCTGGCATTTCTCTCCATGCTATCTCTCCCCAACTCCCCACCCCCTGCTGTCCCTCCCCTATTTCCCCCGACAGACCCCAGTGTGTGATGCTCCCCTCCCTGTGTCCATGTGTTCTCATTGTTCAACACCCGCCTATGAGTGAGAACATGCGGTGTTTGATCTTCTGCTCTTGTGTCAGTTTGCTGTACAGTTTCCTTTCTTTGCAAAGATTTTTCTTTTTGTTTGTTTTTTTCTGGATTTCACAATTTTCTTTTACGTATCACGCCCTGTACCCAAACTTTCTATTGGAGCTGGAAGATTCCTCACGGTGCAGGGAGGCACATCAGGCCATGGGCAGCCCCTTTCATGAAGGGCTGGGAGAGTCTCTCCATCCTGCTCCCCCAAGACCAGCCCCCCCACTCTCCTGAGGGCTCCCCTTCACCCTTCACCTGCTGGTGCACACTTTTCCATGTCTGGGGCTGGGCATGGGATCCTCCTTCATTTTCTAGTTTGAAACATGCCCATTAGCTTTTGGGGGAGACAATGCGCACAAGACCTTTTATTGAGGCTTTGAATATTTGAAAACACTTTTAAATTTTACTTTGACATTTGAAAGCTTAGACAATGTTTTAGAAATAACTGAATTAATGTAAGAGAGAGAGAGAGAGAGAGAGAGAGAGAGTGTGTGTATCACTGCTGCAACTGAAAGAATCCCAATCTGAAAACCATTAATAAATTCAGGGGTCCTGGGCTGGGGCTGGACAGTTTTCTGAGAAGTGAAGGCTTCAGGCTCCATCGGGCACTTGGAACTGGAGAGGAAGGAGCTGGAAGGCCCTGCCTGGGCTCCGGCTTTAGGAAGATGCCTGGCCGCATCCTCAGCTGTGCCTGCATCCTAGGGACCACAGCCCTGCTGGGTGAGGCCTCCAGCTGGGCTCCCTTCCTGCTGGCCTGTGTGGGGTGGTCAGGGGAGCAGCTGCACATCTGTGTGGGGGGCAGCAGGGGTCTGTGCATTCTGCTTTTCATCAAACGCAAAGACCCCTTCCACTCCCCGCCCTCCCCACTATCCCTGCCTTCAGAGCTGCTCTGAAGAGGTGGCTCCGATTTCTGCTCAGCGTGCTGAGGCCCCTCCACCTCCACGTGTCTTACCCTTCCTGAGGCTGTGGCATCAGCTCCCTGCTGTTCATGAGGCCAGGCCACGGGTCCAACCACCTTCAACTTCCAGAATCATCTGTACTCGCCCGATGAGCTTTCGTCTTCTTTTTTGTTCCCCCTCTCATAAGTTCCTGCTTATTTTTATTCCTTAATTTTATGAAAGCTCTGAGCAAGAGGGCTCTCATGTGAGTCTGTTCAGATATATATGATGGACTGGGAGCATGTTAAGAAAAAACAAAGAAACATTGGTTTGAACATATATTGGACCATTTTCCCATTATGTTCTGACAAAATAAATTCTGTCTACACTTGGAGGCTGGAGGCAGACACAGAAGGAAGTTGCAGGTGCCCCTGGGCTTTCTCTCCTCCCCAGTGGCTTTTCTGATTCCCCCATTGAGTCTTCCTCCCAGATTTCACATGGGGCTGGCAGAAAACAAACGGCAACAACAAACACACATGCACATGCACACATGTGCGCACACATACACACATGCACAGGCATGCACACACACGTGCATGCACACATTTACACGTGCACACTCACAGGCACACACAGAGGCACATACACGTGCACATACATGTGCACACTCACACACATGCAGGCACACACACATGCACAGGGGCACACACACATGCATACACACACCCAGGTATGCATGCACACACAAGCAAGCACACACACATAACACGCAGACACATACATGTGTGCACTCATGCACACACACACACACATGCTCACACATGCACACTCACATGCACACACATACAGGAACACACGTGAACACGCACACAGGCACATGCTCACATGCACACACATACACACACTTGCATACGCACATGCTCGGGCACACATGCACACAAAAAAGCAAGCACACACTCACACATACACACACACAACTTTACAGAACTCCCAGGACACAGCAGGTACCTCATGGAGTTTCGGGGCAGGGGGAGCAGGGCTTGAGGGCACTTACCGCTCCTCTCTGACACCCACCACAACTTGGTCTGCCATGAGGGCATCTCAGTAAAGATTTTTACATCTAAACTTTCTACAGGAACTTTTCACTTTCCCTCTCTGATTTCTCCCAGTATTTCACTTCTGCTGCTGCTTTCTCTGCCTCTGGGGCTGGCTGGGACCTCAGCTTCATGGTCTCTCAGCCTGAGAGGCTTCCCCTCTGCCTCGGGCCTCATGTGCCCAGGCCCTGGCACCCAGCTCCCCCTCCCTGAAGCTGGCATCCTCGCAATTTCACTTTTGCGTAATTCCTTCTGTTGTCTCTGGCTCCCCCAGTAGACAGTCAGTGTTCCATGTGCAGCATCGTGACTGGTTCGGAGCAAATGACAGGTTCCCGACGGACATTCCCAGGGAGCAGCTGCCCCAGCTCTCAGTCCTGCTGCCCACGAGTCCCTCGCTACAGACATTCCACAGTGTGGACCCACCTCCCACAATGCAGGTGTGAATTTTAAAACAAATGTGTGTTCCTCTTTGATGTAGTAACTACAGCCTTATTTAAAATTCTTATTGGGTTTGATTTAGGAACATAACAAATTAATTTTCAAATTAAATCCGTGTTTTTGGAAATTTTTATACATAGGTTGAATACCAAGTTTATACTCATCCTATGAAACATTAAAACTCAAGGGATATGTGGCACCCTGTGGTACCGCAGTGCAGCAAGTGAGCGTGTTTATGTCATGTATTTTTATACATGGCACCCTCACATGCATGCACACTCGGGTGTTTCTTCTGTTGTTTTGAATAGGAAGAAGTCAGTCCTGATGTTTAAGGGTGGCCTGCGATGCTGAATTTTTGTTTCCATTGGAATAACTGATAGCTTCTTGTCTCTTTTTTTTCCTCAAATAACTCCACCCCCCCGATGTGGTTTGGATTTCTGTCCCCACCCAAATCTCATGTAGAATTGGAGGAAGGGCCTGGTGGGGGGTGACTGGATCATGAGGGCAGATTTTCCACTTGCTGTTGTGGTGACAGGGAGTGAGCTCTCGTGAGATCTGGTTGTCTGAAAGTGTGTAGCACTGCCGGGCGCGGTGGCTCACACCTGCCATCCCAGCACTTTGGGAGGCTGCGGGGGGC